ATGTTTGGAACACAGACAGTCCATACTAGAAAGGGCCATGGAGGGGCAGGAAAATCTGGTGATCCATCAATGTCATCCCCCATTATATTACTTCCAAACTATTTCCTACACATAACCATAAGTGGATATGTTTTTGAATGCTCACTATAATTCTGTTTGTGATGCAAGAAATGAGGTTTAGGCTCTATCACTGAAACTGGCATGGGTAAAATGTGGTAGCAGCATCCCATAGAGTACAACACAGATTAGAAGCAACATAAATAAACATTAAAAAGCATGCTTAATTTGTAAAATGGTAAGAAACAGAATGATAGCTATCTAACACAGTACAACTCATGTAAATTAAATATCTGGAAAAATGGGGAACATTTTAAATAAGACTCAGAAACTGACTGCATGATGCACTATTTAGAGAGTAAGGGAACTACAAATACAGAATGGCAAATAAAAGGAAAATTTGGGGTACTGGTTGTAGTTCAGTTATAGAGCAATTACTTCATATGTACTATATCATAAGACCCTAAGTTCTATTCCCCAGTACTACAAAATAGTATACGCATTAGGATACAACTAGTGATAGAGTATTTGCCTAGTATATGAGGATTTAGTTCTTCTTCAAGAACATAGACAAGGGAAGCAGAAAGGTGTGCGTGCCTGTGTGCATGGGGGCAGGGGGATGAGGTGTAAAGCCAGTATCAGACAGACATCATCTTAAACAAATGGTCAAGGTTACTACTCCTGGTAGAATACATTCATATTAATGGTCCTGTAACTAGAATGTACTTAAGGACATAGCTTCTGTGGTACTGACAATGTATAACCCAAAGTTAAGCAGGGGTCATCTGAGCAAAATGAGGAATGGTCTATGAAATAACTGTCATCTATTCTTCCAAAATGTCAATCATGACAAAGGAAGGGTGTGAACCTGTTTCAGGATCAGGACTACAGCTTTGGTAACTAAGAGTGGAACTACAGATGAAATACTCAAGTGGAAACAGGAAAAGTGAGGTGAGACTAGAAATCTGAAGGAGATATGTATAGCATCCACATGTTAATTCTGCTTCCTATCATGTAAACATGATACTGGCATCTAGAGAATTCAAAGCATATGGGAACCATCTATACTATAATTCCTGATGTAATTAACAAACTGAATTTGACCAATTCCAAGTGTCCAATTCCCCTGTACTGGGAGGCTGAGGCAGGAGATCTGACACAAGTTCCAGACCAGCTAGAGACACATGGCAATCCCATTTTTAAAAAAAGAAGAAGGAAGGAAGGAAGGGAGACAAGACACACACACACAGAGACAGGGTGGGGGGAGAGAGAAAGAGAATGAAAGATGCAGGTCAGGTTACTCACTCACTTTAGGGCACAAAGCTTTACAACCATCAGAAGAAAAGAAAGAGAGGGGGGAGGAAAGAATGAAATGAAGGAAGAAAAAAAGAAAGAGAGAGAGTGAGAGAGAAAGGAAGGAAGGAAGGAAGGAAGGAAGTTAAAGGTGCAGGTTAGGTTACTCACTTTAGGGCACAAAGATTTACAACCATCAGAAGAAAAGAAAGACACAGAGAGGAAGAGAGAGAGAGACAGAGAGAGAAATAAAGGAAGGAAGGAAGAGAGAGAGAGAAAATAAAAGGTGCAGGTTAGGTTACTCACTTTATGGTACAAAGCTTTACAACCATCACTAGAACATGTGGAATGGGTTCCCAAAGTCCATTTGTGTACTATGGATAAATACTGATCCACTACCATAGGCCCCATAGACTGCCCTCTCCTCTCAAATAACACATTCAAGGAATCTGGGTCGGTGCTACGCTGGTTTCCCAGCTATCAGACTGGAGTCCATGAGCTCCCTCTTGTTTAGGTCAGCAGTTTCTGTGGGATTCTCCAGCCTGGTATTGACCCCTTTGCTCATCCCTCCTCCCTCTATGCAACTGGATTCCAGGACTTTCGCTCAGTGTTTAACTGCAGGTGTCTGCTTCTGCTTTCATCAGCTACTTTTTGATGGTATTTAAGGTAGTCATCAATCTCTTAGGGAAAGGGCATTTAAGATAACTTCACCACTATTGCTTAGATTTTTAGTTGGGACATCCATGTGGATCCCTGGAGATTTCCTGTTAAGCCCATAATGGCTCCCTCTTTCAAGGAATCTTTCTTTGTGTGTTTGTTTTTTCTCTCCTTCTCTGTTCTTCCCCCAACTCAACTTTACTGATCCCTTATGTTCTCCTCTCCCTCCTCAACTCCTCTTTCTCTGACCTCCCCCCATGCTCCCAATTTACTCAGGTCTTGTCCCTTTCCTCTTCTCAGGAGTTGGGGGGTCATGTATGTCTCTCTTAGGGTCCTCTTTGTTTCCTAGCTTCTCTAGGTTTGTGGATTGTAGGCTGGTTATCCTTTGCTCTATGTTTAATATGACCTTCTCCTTATAGTGGGATTGTTGACTACCTTAAATGCCATCATAGAGCCTTCATCCAGTACATGATGGAAGCAGAAGCAGAGATTCACAGCTAAGCACTGAGCCTAACTCCTGAACACCATTTGTAGAGAGAGAGGAGGGATGAGCAAAGGGGTCAAGACCATGCTAGGGAAACCCACAGAAACAGCTGACCTGAGCAAATGGGAGCTCATGGACCCTAGTCTGACAACTGGAGAACCTGCATAAGACCAAACTGTCCACCCTGAAAGTGGGTGTCAGTTGGGGGGCTTGGGCAGTCTATGGAGCCTAGTGCATGAAAGGGCTTTGGGAGTCTATTTCCTATGGAGAGATACTCTTTCAGCCTAGATACAGGGTAAAGGGTCTCAGTCCTCACCAAAATGAAGTGGCAGACTTTGATGATCCCCACTGGGAGACCTCACCATCTCTGAGTGGATGGGGTGAATGGGGTATGGGAATTGGGAGATGGTGGGCAGGAGGGAGAGGGAACTGGAATTGGTATGTAAAATACAATTTTTAATTTGAATAAAAACTAATTTAAAAAGAATCACTTTTGTGAAGGTGTACCATTTTAAGTTCCCACTAGCATTTCTTATTGTTTATATTTTGCAATACATTTTATAGCTATACATATATGTATATCTCTCAAGGTTGTTGTGCTTCTCACTTCTAGATAAAGCTTTCAAACATTTGGTCTATTTATTCCCGGAGTCTCACAGAGGTGAAGGGAGAAAAGTTGGAAAAAAGATTAGTTTCTGATCATTTGCACCCTTTAGGTAAATGTGTTAAATCTCTAGGAGTTTAATGACACCAATTGGGTATCTACAATTCAACTCAAATTTTGCTACCTTCTAATTGAAGCTACCATATTGAAGATGTTAGGAGATCAATTTCACAAGAATCCTACTTCAAATGCTAATTGCTTGTTATCATTTACACTTCTCCGCCCGGCTATGTATGTATGTATCAGGAGTTCCCAGGACACATCATGCTGGCAGAGTTATGTGGCTCACAGAACCCAGGGAAGTTTACTTACCATTACTCATTCATCCCAAGGTTTCCAAAGGATGAGCCCAAAAAGTGGTAAGATGTGTTCCTGCCCTAGGCCACTTGCTCAGTATCTGTACTTCAGAGTTGGAGGATGTTCCATTACACTTATTACTAACCAGGCATTAATGATGCTGTCATATGAATGTTACCCCCCCATTCAGGTTGAAACTTGTAATCAGAAGTGTAAAAGTGGTAAGAGTTTAAAGATGTGATTATATTTGCTGGAGCAAGATGTCAAGGGCTACTGGGGTAAAGTAACTAATTCTACTTCATAACTGAAAGTGACGTAGATGAGGGATGGACTTAGGAGAAGAGGAAAACAATCTAAATATGTCCCATTTGAATATGTGATGAAACTCAATGTGAAATACTGAGGTAGGGTATTCAGAAGATTGACTCCATGTTTATGGATATGATTGGGATTTGATGGATGGGATTCTTTATGTGAAAAGCATTCAACTCTCTCTTGCCTTTTTAACACATGAATAAACAGCAAGAAGGTAGCTATCAGACAACGAATGTCAATTCTTAAAACTTAGAGGTGAAAATAAGTTGACAAGTCTTAGGTATTTTTTTAATAGTTGCACAAATGGACTAAGGAAAATATCAGTGGGTTGGGAGAAGATTGCAATAATGGCTCATTATACTTGTGAAGTTTATCTGGGTTCCACGTCCAATGCCATAAGCATAGAAAATAAAGTCACCTAACCTATTCAGTCTGAAGAACAGGAGCTCGAGGCTCCAACCTACTGACCATATCTTGGTGGTTTGGACATTTAGCAAACTTCTGGAAGCCAACCCTGCCCGTGTCCCTCACTGATTAGCATACATTGTTGGTTCAGTGCACTAGACTCTAGTGATCTTGGAGAAATAGACCATTTACTGAAATAAAAGATGCTACTAGCATCCTTATCACTCAGGAAAGTACAAGGACTTTATAAACTGTACATGATGACTGAATATGTATTTCTTTGTATATTGTTATACTTGGCCATACTTAGAGGATTGCTGTGTCACTTTGGAGAAGGAAATGAAACCTTGGGCATGAAATTCTCTCCATCTGGTACCACAGTCAACACTTGGTTTAGTGATAGGCAGACAACTTCAAGGAAATTCATGTGTGCAGATATGGAAGAAGACCCTCTCCTCTTGACAAATATAGAGTGTTTTATAATTATGAGTTTAATTAAATAAACCCATGTTGTTTGGAGGCATTTACTACACTTAAAATATTATCAAATATCTGAACTATAAGGGCCTTTTATATAGGACCCATGGCTTGAGCACAAAATTGGGACTGGAATGAACTGATAGGTAAGAAACCAAAACTCATACAGAACAGACAATACAGTCCTTTAAAAATTCTAAGCCATAAGCTTTATTTTCATTGAATTCAGCATGAGGTAACAAAAACACATTATATTACCATCGTTAGTGATTATTTAATTACATATACATTAATCTTTACATCATCTGAATTCCTTTGAGGATTTATTCAAGTTATATTAACATAAAATAGTATAAACAATCAACAAATTTCCCATAATAACTTCTATGCCTCTACTGAGAATTTTAGCCAGAATTGTTACTTTAAAAAAAATTCATAAGTTTAATTTCTTTATTAGAAGAATAGAGAAATAAATTACATTGTAAAACTTGTGTTTCATGGAAGCAATTTCCATTCTCTTCTTCCTCACAGTGGATAGCCATGCTGAAGCTCCATGTCTAAGTTGCTTGCCACTTCTATCACACAGCTGCTCTTCTGCTTTCAGAAAGACTCATCAGCAAGCAGCGGACAGTCAATAAATCAAGGGTGAATTTTCGGGAAAATAATTATGTAGTGAAATAGAATAATCCTTCATAAAGTTTGGGGATAATCATGAAGGGAGAACAGAAATAAACCAGGCTCCTGCAGATGGAAGAGAAACCAAAATGAGGAGGAATAGTGAGGTAGGGGAGCAGTGCACTATGGTGCTTTACTTCCTGTCAGCAATAACAAATAGAACGTATTTCATTATAACATGATCAATCTTATCTTTGTTTCTACAGTTGACACAGCAGGCATGGGAAATTGTTTTGGATGAAATCACAATGACACCATCAATTGCTAAGGTGATCAACTTTGCGGAGATTCTTTCCAATGTGACAAGTCACACTCATTGTGGCTCCTAGAAAAGTGACTCAGAAATATTAGAGATAAAACACTGACAGGGTGGCCAATGAAGAATTGCTTCCAGGTAGCCTGAAACCCAGCAGACAATGTAGCTGTTGCCTAATAAACACAGAAATCTACATTGTATGCCAGGTTCATGCCCCAAACCTGGATGTTCAGCCTGCAAATCATCCATGTAAATAACTGTTTTAATCAAGATGTCAAAATTATTATGCTTTTTATTTACCAAAGAGAAAAGAAAACAGAAGTCACAATTGCTGTCATTTACCTGTAAGGTGAAATTTCTCCAAATAATTCTATTGGGTATCAGTCAACATGGTTATTTTAAAATGCCCTTTAAGGGTCAAGAGATGTATGGAAGCACAGATAGGGAAGGGAATGGGTATCAAGTTAGGTATATGACACATAGATATAAAAGGGTATCTTCATGGGAGAAAGAGAGGGATATGGAGGAAAACCAAACAATGTCTCAAATATCCTTTTCAGAGACCTCATCATTCATGAAACTCTGGATGATTTCCCGAACACAATGAATAATGGAAGAGTATATCTGAAAACTGCTATCATTTCAATAATCTTGCTATGGGTATCATAACTGAAGCCAGATGATGCCACCAGAGACCCAGTAGCCAGATGTAGCTGCTGATTAACAAAGACAGGATCTACACTGGCTACTGAGCCACTGAGAGCACCTTAATCCTTCTGAGAGCAAGACATTTATGGCCTTCTTAGGCAACACTCTGTGGAAGAAAAGTCAATTATAGAAATTAATAAACCAAGAGTTTTCAGTTACACATTTTGCTTAAGTCGTGAATATATACAGCTCTTAACTACCTCTAGATTCACTTATAAAGTTATTAATAAGTAACCTGTACAAAAGTATTCATAGTAGGACCTCAAGCGTTTGTCAGTTCCAAGCTGTCCCCTTTAACAATACAGGTGTAAATTACTAGCTAGGTAAGTTCCTTGTTGATCGAGTCACTCATTTATCTTTGTACAAATATTTGCAAATACTTACTAGGACACATTTCTGTATAAAGATACAACATTGAACAAAGGGCCCTGACACTTGAAATTAAGAATTAGAGATGACAATAAAGGTATGGAAAAACAAGAAAAGAATCCAGCAGATATGCAGTTATTTCATAGATTACATAGTTGAAAATAATAGTATTGTTTTTAAGACAGCTGGGGACCTGATAGTCATACATCTTGGAAAAAGGATATATATATATATATATATAGATATATATATATATATATATATATATATATATATATAGGAGAGTAAAGGGCAATGGGGGAATTAAAGAGGCAAATGTCGAAGAAATCAAGGCACTCACTCTATCTCTGTATTTGACTGCCACCGGCAATCATGGTTTTCTACATTTAGGATCATTTTGAAATATAAAGAACTATGTGACTTGCTTGAAACACTTTACACCTTAAGAGTCCTGCCTTTTTGATGATTTTAAAATTCTGCAGAATTCACTTATATTTCTGAGTGTTTATCATCAGGAAGAGCTCTCAAAAGCTTACAATTTTCAAATAGTACAAGTTCAATGGGCATGCAGCTGGACCATAGAATGATAATCAAATACATGCACAAGCAAGAAAAGTGGCTCATTACAATATTGTTAGTATTAAGAAAACTTCTGAGAGCAGCTTCCTGAGAGCCACAGTGTGCTTGGCTCTGTTTGGGAGATTGATAAGGGGAGTAGGTTTGTTTGATTGCTTGTTTTACCCCCTTTCAATAATTATTAACTAACTTTATCTGTTAGTTATATCTTACTGTTCTCTACAAAGGAGTATGCATAATGAGATGAGGGGAAAAAAACATTTTCTCAGTTTTGGCCAACTCTTACCCTCACTGTAAAATAAAGCATTTACATAGCAGACAAGCACATCTCATAACATACTACAACTATTCCTAATCATCCTTTATAGAAAAACCTTCCAGAGTGAGGCAAGGGTTGAATTTGGTTAGTTCCAATGCCAATGTTAAACAGAGGATCATTTATAAATCCTAGTACATTTTAGCTACACTCTGTAGACCCAGAAAGGTCAGATATGGAAGAAGGGACTAGGGAGGTGGCAATTATTGATCTCCATGGGAAGGGGAAAAAAGAGTATAGAATATATTTTATGGGTGGTCTGGGGGAATAAGAATGGCAGGGAGAATTAGGTGAAGGAGGAGGTAGGGTTAAGGAGGGAATACAGGGAGATAGAATTGAGGGATTTTACCTAGTGCAGTGGAAACATATGAAGTTGATTCGAATGAAGGATCAAATAATGGGGAGACAGAGTTCCCAGCTGGCCATCTCATCACCAAAGGAAGTTTCCAGAACAGGGACTGGGTTAAATCCAACTGAGTTGTTGGTCAAAGGGTCCCGACAGGAGTACCCAAATAACACAAGCTGTTACAAAGAATAAGCTACTCTCTACAAACAAAGAGCAAGGCCCCATTGCTGAAGACAATACACATATAACTTATTGAGGATGCACAAGTCAAGCTGATGCCTAAACAGAACCATCAACCCCATATTCTAGGGGCACTCTGTAGGTTACCAAAGGAAAAATGTAAAAACTAACCCAACTAGAAAACCTTTCATCTACAATCTGTCTTGCCTGCAAAATATACACTAGGGCAATGTTACCACAATGATTGTGGGAGCAGCACAAATGTCTAATATGATTTAAGGCCCACTCCATCAGGTGGAACCCAAACTTAACAGTGCTTGAGTGACCAAAAGCAAGAGACATAGCCCAGAGACCTAGAGTAAAAGCCAATTATTACTAATCTTCAAACAAACAAACCAACAAAACCTGATAAAATGACTCGGAATGATATTCTGCTATACTCAGGCTTTATTCAGCCGTCATCATAGAAGCTTCCTTCTGCAGCACACAGAAACAAGTACAGAGCCCAACAGCCAGACATTACAACATTGCACAGGGAGAAAGACTTGAGCACACACCTGTCATTGCTTATGGAACCCTAGGAAATGAGGAAGAAAGAGTGTAAAAAGAAGAGAGGACATAAGGAGAACAAAGAGTTCTAAATCAACTGAGCAAAGCTCATATAAACTCAGAGACTAAAGCAGCAAGCACAGGGCCTACCCGGGTCTACACCAGATGCTCTGCATACATATTCTAGCTTTGAGCTTAGTTGTTATTAAGGAAACTCCTGAGTGTGTAAATAAGCAGGTCTCTGATTCTTTTGCCTTCAGTTCTGTTGCTTTGCCTTGTCCAATCTTGTGATGGTTTTTGTTTAATTTTGTCATGTTTTACCATTGTTTTTTAGAAGCCTGAATTGATTTGGTTGGGAAGGGAGGTGGGGAGGAGAGGAAGGAGTAGCTGAAATCAGAATATATTGTATGAGAAAAGAATCTATTTTCCATTAAAGGGAAAAATTGGAGGGGAGGCCATGGAGGTGTATTTAATCAAAATGAATTATATGCACACATGAAATTATCTAACAACAAAATTATTCAGAATAATTAATCCTATTGTGACTAAAATATCAAAGATGGCAAAATTTCTTCAGGGAGGGAAAAAAAAAACAGAACTGCAATGGTACCTTAAAACTGGGTATTTAACAGGAACATTACAAATAAATAAGTAAATATGAAGTGAATATTAGTCCATCTTTAGATTCCCAAAATGCTACTCTACTTATCCTCCAAATTAATTGTATTTAAATAACTAATATTAATATATTCTTTTCTTTTTATTTACATAGGCAATGTATGATGAACAAATATAAATAAATTTTATTAAAGGTTACTCCATTAGTACCCAATCACAAACCAATGCAACAGGGAACACCTTGATAGGAAATTTTGAGTAACAGCACATTTTCAAAGTTTACAAATAAATTCAAAGAGAAGAAACAGTATTAGACTACAAAACTCAAGTTACATAATTTATTACCTAGTAAATAAATAAGTCCCTGTATGAGAAATAACTATAAGCACAGGATCCACTGCCTGAGTCCAATTTATACCACACAGGAACAAAACACAAACAATTAACTCCCCTTTGGCTGATGACCATTAATTAACATGTGGTGGGAAGAGCTTAAAATGAAGCAAAGGCTCATTAAAAGCAAAGTCTATCTACTGCTAGAAAGGCTGCTTTGAACTGGGATTGACCCTATTACTTGCAAATTTACCCCAGAATATAAAGAGCACAGCCTCCACAGTTAAAACAGGTGCACTCTACAGGATGAACCACAAAGAAACTTACTGATACTGAAAGTGACGTTACCAGATAGAGAACTACACTTGCATCAAACTTTCCCTAGAAATGAAAGAAATGCTGCCACTTGGAAGGTCATTCAACTGAAGACAAGAACCAACCTACCTCTTCTGAAGATTTTTTTCTCCTCAGGCAATTCTATGTCATCTTCAAAAGGTATCTATAACTTTAGAAATGATAGCTCTGGAGACAAATTTTGATCCTAAAGACTATATGAGAGGTAAGAAGAAACAGCTACTTGAACAGCACTGGCATAAGGAGGTTTTGAAAGTGTTCAAAAGACTTTCTAAAACTTAAAATATCTTTCTTTTTAAAAAGCTTCTAAACACATTTTAGTTCTGTGATTTTTCTAATCCCAGTAGTTTTGTCCACCAGGTCACCTTTAATGTATGTGATAGCAGCTTTCCATTAACTTAAGGATGCAGTCAACTTTTGTTGCAAACACATTTACGGATCTGAAATAGCACAAGCCAGTC